CACAATCAAAATTCACTTACATTAAGACCCGATAATTTTTTTTACAGATATATCAATACCTATTGAACATTCCACTTTTAATAATACAAATGATACAATTCTTTTACCAGCAAGATCAGAAACAATTAAATGTATTAAACTTAATTGCTCTGAAAATGAAGTTCTAGTACACAGTCAAGAACCAATGCCCGGTATTTACATTGCAAACGCAATTGTTACTTCTAATAATGCATTTATACGCATCATAAATAGTACTAATAAAGATACAAGTTTAAAACATAATGACATAAAGTCAGAAAGTCTATTAAATTATAACATAATTACAAACACACAAACAAAAAATAATAGAAGTCAAGAAGTTTTAAATAATCTAAAAAAAAACTTCCCCAAACAATTCAATTCTCAATTGTACGAGTTATGTTCCCAATATACTGATATTTGTGGACTTGAGTCTGAACCAATAACCCAAAATAACTTCTACAAATAAAAATTGTTAATGGAAGATAGAAAACCAGTATACATAAAAAATTATCGTATACCCCACTCACATAAAGAAGAAATAAATAAACAGGTGAATAAATTAATTGATGATGGCATAGTGGAACCATCCATTTCACCTTATAACAGCCCTTTACTTCTAGTTCCAAAAAAATCTCTCCCAAATTCGAATAATAAAAGATGGCGTTTAGTAGTAAATTATCGCCAAGTTAATAAAAAACTAATTGCTGACACATTCCCACTCCCAAGAATCGAAGAAATTCTCGATCAACTGGGACGTGCCAAATACTTCTCATGTATTGATTTAATGTCTGGTTTTCACCAGATTGAACTTGATAAATATTCAAGAAACATAACGTCCTTTTCTTCGAGCAATGGCTCATATCGTTTTAAACGATTACCATATGGACTTAAAATAGCGCCTAATTCATTCCAGCGCATGATGACACTTGCATTTTCAGGCTTAAAGCCTTTGCAAGCTTTTCTTTACATGGATGATCTTGTTGTTGTCGGATGTTCCGAAAAACACATGATTAAAAACCTTTAGGATGTATTCGAACTTTGTCGAAAATACAATCTCAAATTACATCCTGAAAAATGTAGTTTCTTTATGCATGAAGTGACTTATCTTGGACATAAATGCTCAGACAAAGGTATTTTACCTGACGAAAGCAAGTATGATATTATTAAAAATTATCCAACACCCAAAGACGCTGACAGCGTTAGACGGTTCGTTGCTTTCTGTAACTACTACAGAAGGTTTGTCAAAAATTTCTCTGACTATTCGCGTCATTTAACCAAACTTTGTAAAAAGAATATTAAATTCGAATGGTCCAAGGAATGTGAAAATTCATTCCAGCATTTAAAAAATGCATTAATGCAACCAACATTAC